TCGTAATACCTAATGTAAAAGAAATAAAGATATTAAATAAAGGATTAACTGAAGACGCATAAAATGTTATTTATAAGGAAAGTTACATTTCTCGATATGTATTAAAAGCATCGTTAGCTGCAATTTCCAATTTTCGTGTTTTTGGAGAAGGAAGCATACCACTTTCGAATGGTGGATCGTATTCATTTGACCATGGGGATCTACAAACGTAATAAAGTATTTAAATTGTAATAATGGCGGTAATCGGAGATATATTTTAAGCAAAACGCGTATTATTGTCTCATGATCTAGTGTCTACATACCGAAAAGAATCACCATCCCTATTAAAGGATGACTGTAAATATTCCTTTTTCGTTATTGGGCATGTCGCAACTTTAAGTGGCTGGTCAATAGCATTAACCAAGTCCTCATGAAGGGGAGGAACGAGAGATATGAGTTGTGAAAGGTTTTCCTCGGTGTTTTGAGGAGGAAGTCGTCTCATAAGATCTAATGCGCATTCCAGTTGATCATCCTATTAAAGCCAACTAGTATAAATTATATTGAAAAAAACAAAAATTTTTACTGAAAAGGCTAATAGCACTCACCATTTTTAACGATAAAAGTTTGCGAAAGAAATTTTGATAGGAGGTCACGGTATTTTCACACACAGAACGAACTTTGAATGGTTGATGATGATATGCAAGAATTGTATTGGCTGGAGATTCAAAATAGGTGGTCTCATATGATCGGTGACTTCTCACAGGAGATCGTGCCATTATACAAAAAAAATTGGGCAGCTAGGTCAAATTTATTGAGATCATGGTTTAATTTTGTACAACGAATTTGGCTGACTCTTTATCTTTAACGAGCTTCAATTATTCAATTAGCGTTCGAACACAATGCACCGCCTTACATGAATAGTCTAAAGGGTCAGATAAAATTACGCTTTTTTTTTTGACGTCAAGTTCCGGTAGCACGCATATTTAAATAATCGTAAAAGTACACATTGTTTAATTATTTCCTGTATATCTCAGGTTTATTAAAATAAAAATATATAACGATGAAATGTCGTGTTACCGATTTAGAAGTTAACATTAAATAAAATATAAGGTTTAAAATATCTGCATTCTACTTCAATTTAGTGATGATATGGTTGGTGAATTCAGTATTTGTGGCGGAGCCACCAAGATCACGCGTAAGACACTTGCCTTCAGCAATAGTGCTGAGGACAGCCGTTTCAATTGTATCAGCGTATGTGAATAGACGCATGTGGCGAAGCATCATTATCGAAGAGAGGAGGAGGGCCGTGGGATTTGCCAGGTCTAAAAATATTGATCGAATTCGCGTTTTTAAACATGAATAAGATCTAAAATGAAAATACCAAACATTCATAAGAGGCTTTCCACTTACCTTTTCCTGCGATATCAGGTGCTGTTCCATGAACAGCCTCAAAAAATCGAAGCATCTTTGCCAATAATCCCTGAAGGTGTCAGCCCAAGTCCACCAATTAGTCCAGCACACATATCTGATAAGATATCACCATAAAGATTAGGCATAACCATCACTGTGTCAGAAAAGCGGGCAGGATCCTGGACTATCTGAATTCGGAAAACACATTTTTTTAACAATTGTTTACGTTATCCGAAATATATTTTGTTTCATTGTTACTTACATGGAGACACGCA